GGTATCCTAAATATATAAAAATATTTGGAACTTTTTAAAACTTTATATATAAAAACTAAATTTAGGATCTTATATTAGCTCTATATTATTTTATATAAAAAAAAAATAATTCTCTAATTTTTAACCCTAACTCTAAATATATCTAGAAGTGGTGATGATCATCACTAGTTATATATACTATATTTCTTATAATTAAATTTAAATAAAATTTTTAAAATATATCATTTTTAGAGTATTACTAATTATAACTAGTAGTGATCATTACTAGGATACTTATATCTCAAAAATGTACTAAATAAGCAGGATCAGATACTTTAAGTAAAAATGTTTAGAACTTTTGAAAATCTTACAAAAATTAAAATCAGAATCTTATTATTCTATATTATATTATATATAAAAAAAATAATTTTTAATACCCATACTCTAACTCTAAAAATAATTAGAAGTAGTAATAATTACTATTAGTTATTTTAAGTATATTTTTTATTTTTATTTTATTTTTAAAAATCTTTATCAAAATATAAAACTTATATTTATATTATATTTTATTTAAATATTTAAAATTATTTAAACAAAAATTAATAGCAATACTTTTTTATAATATATTAGATATATAAATATTACTAACTATAACTAGTGATGATTATTACTAAAGTGCTTATATCTCAAAAATATACTAAGTAAACAGAATCAGGTACTCTAAGTAAAAATGTTCAGGACTTCAAAAACCTTATAAAAACTGAAATTAGAACCTTATATTAGCTCTATATTATATTATATAAAAAAAAAATCTTAATACCCGCACCCTAACCCTAGAAATAATTAGAAGTAGTGATAATCACTACTAGTTATTTTAAATATATTTTTAGATATATAGTATTAAACAATTTTTTTAATTATTGTAATGACTAATGCTAAAATTGGCTGATACTAAAAATTTGACTTATTTTATTATAAAATTTTAAAAAATTTTTGGGCCTTTTTGTTAGGGGTTTTTTTAGTTAGGTTAGGGTTTAGGGTTAGTATTATTAGTAAAAAAGTATATGTAAATTTTAGTAGATATTATAGATTTAAACGGGGACCCTAAATTTCAGCATCAGCCGCGACAATTATTAATAACAATATATATAGCTTTTTGTTTATATTATATTTTATAAATTTTTTATAAATATTTTTAATATTAACAACAAATTCTTGTATATAAAAATCTTTATATAAACTTGCTATTTTGATATTAATAAAATTATTCAAAATAGAAAATTTATTTTAAAAACAAAAAAAAAAAACTTTTAGTAATAATATGCAGTATAAAAAATTTTTTTATTAAATAAATAATATATACTATACTATATTTATTAAATTTGATATAGTTTAAAAAATAATAAAGAATTTTAATACAGTAAACAATATTATACATATACTTAATATACAAAAATAGGCATTTACTGTATACGTACTATATATTGTACGTACGTATAAAATTTTGACATTTACGATTCAAATTAACACAGAATATCATGGCGATACATTTTGTAGCTAATAATTAAGATTATAGTATTTGTTTATAAAATAAGTAAAGGATAATAAAGAAAAAACAAACGAAATTAGACAATAATTTGAAAAGAAAAAAAAATTAAAACGTGTAACGTTTTTGGAAGATCTTTTAAGGCATGTAATAAAAATTTGCAACCCAACACAACATTAAAGTACTGTATGTTGATCTCTTATGAAAATTAAAGATCTTAATACGTACTTAAATATGTATCAGGTATATTACTAACGGAAAAAGACTAATATATTACAAAAGACGATATCACGGTGCAGGAATGTTTTTTTTTTTTTATAAATCTTGATATCAAAGGTAGCCAATCAATAAAATAAAAGGTTAAACTTTCAGATTATTTTAATTGAAAGATACTTAAAATAGTAAAATTTAATATAATAATTTTTTAACGTTAAGAACAAATAAATGAATAAATAAAATTTAAAGAAATTTTGGACCATACGAAATAATTCAACGCAGACAGTTTAGATATAAATAAAGATACAAATATTTAAATGCTAATTGGAACGACGTTACAGAAGGAATCATGAAGGATTAGAGAGTAAAACTACCCAATTAATGCTTGAAGATTAATGCTTGAAGATTAATGTTTGAAGATTAATGCTTGAAGATTCACCCGAGAATTATCGTTTCAGATAAGACGGATTATAGGAGTGCCGCAAAGTGAAAAGCCAGAATTTTTTTCATATCTTTTTGCGGTACTCAGATATATATTGATATCTGATATTCAGGTAACCTTGTACGTATTGGTATGTATGTATGTACGGAATCTCAAAGTTCACGTGACATAATCTAGGATAATCTCGCCGAGTTTGCATGCTTACAGAACTATAATAATCATGTGTGACAGATATTACTTAAGAACTATAATAATCATGAGTGACAGATAGTACTTAAGAACTATTCGTTAACTATCCGGGTAGTACTAACTTTAACATGAGATAAATCATGTGCAGCAAGAATTGATATTATTCGTTAAATTGAACGTTAAAGTTTTTATAGTACATAGTTTACATGCAGAAAAATTTAGCAAAATTATTACGATACGTAGAATTTTTTTTTGGAAACTAATACAAATAGAAATAAGGGTATGTACACATAGCAAAAACTTTTAATACGTATTAGAGGAAGAACATTTAAGTTATATATTATATATAGATAGATAACATTGTATAAAAAAAAGGTACTGTACGTACGTACAATAATTACCGAAAATCACAGTTTCCTTCTAGGGAGAAAGATACGGATAAAGTAAAGAAGCAAAAAATCATATGACCAGTTATTGATTAATGAAATAATGCAGTGAGATGAATGAAAAAGTCGAAAAAGTATGATTATTAAGTAGGTTGACACAAAGTACAAAGGAGTGACGAGATTTTTAATCGGAAAACTCGGAAGGTGATAAGATATGAGATTTACAATTTCACGTGAAGCTTGCGAATCACAAATTACTGACATTTTATATTATTAAAAATACAGTAGATTCATTGTATGCTTAATGGCGTTTTCTGCGGATTATAATACTATAAAAAATTGTGACACGTAATTTACTTGAGATCAACTGCGTTTTCCTTATCAGTGTTATATACATTTTAGATTATGTGGCATTATCATTGTACCAAAATTTTTATTTTATCTCCGTTTAACAGTCAGAAAGTTTATCAAGATTTACATCACCTATCATAATTCCTATCAGTTATATCGGTATATAATTATATAGATAGTGATCGTCAGACAAAGCCGTAAAAAGTGAATCATAGTTACAAGTGTTAAAACAATTTTTAAGTGAATAAAGATGAAGAAAAAAAAATAAAAGATGAAATAGGAAGAAAGTTAAAAATAAGTGGAGAAATTTGTGGAGACGTGAGTATTTTTTTTTTTCAAAAAAATTGTACGAAAATTTATAAGGAAGTTTTATGGAAGATTTATGGAAAATTACGGAATCGATGGGTATTTTCGTAATTGTTTGTTTTGCTTTTAACGGAACACATGAAACCTGCAACGGGAAGCAACCGGGATTATTACATGTTCACCCGTTAATAGAGTACAAAAAATTGATAATCGAACGACAAAATGAATAGAAACAATTATGGCGTACAGTAAATCTGATGATGTTATCTTTTATCGAACCTGCATTAAGCATGTTAAAATATGTTTAAATATGTTCAAAAGACTTAATCAAAAAGGACAAAAAAAACTACATCAATATTATGATATCAATGATCCTATTGGACCAAAATTTTAATTTTTTATGTAGAACAAATTTAGGATCTGATAGAAAATGTAAAAAGATCTGATAGAAAATATACTGTAGAAAATTGCTATTATAAAGTCATGTGTGTTTATTACAATTTATTACAATTTATTACAAAATTCATATATTACAATATTATTTCAGTATATATTTTATTACGGTTATCTACTATCATTATAACTGATATGGTAGTTATTTATTTTATTTATTATACGTAGTCACTACATAGCTATCACACATAAGACAACATAAGACAACATACGACAGAAACTAAAAAATCAGGTCACTTTTTCGATCAATAATCGACAAAAAGGTTGATTTGTTTATTGTATGTAATGCATATCAAGTAACATTTAGTCGGCAGCAATAAATCCCAAATATCCAGAAAATTCCTGTTTGTCTTATCAACTTTAGCTGTCTTTAGTATTTATTTATGTTTGTAGGATATTCTGATATCACCAAGCAGGTTAATCATATTAATTGTCATTTTATTAACCGGTGATACCGCGTTTCTTCCCGCACTTTTATTTTTTTTTATTTTTATTTTTATTTTTTTTATTTTATTTTTCTTTTTATTTTTTATTTTTTTACATATTCCGTATTTGGTCACCTCAAATTGTGGGGACAATCATTTGAATTCCACGTTCCGGCACCGGTACCCTGAATTTGTTATCTTTTCCGATATTTTTACAATCTGTGTCTACTTCTAATTTAACTTGCAGGGACGGTTCAGGTAATATCTACTTAGCCTACCTAATATGAAAATGTCATATTGGATTTTTTTTTTTTGATTCTGATTTTTCTTATTGATTTAAAAAATCGGGGTTCTTTCTTTTTTTTTTATCACCTGCATCATATGATACGAGTATATACAGTACCAAAAAAAACAATAAATATACAAAATGTAAAATTCTAGACTTTATATCGTACGGAGATGAATGCATCAGTGTATGGTGTATTTATGTGCATAAATCCCTTGTAACCGACCTTTGGCATCCGATTGAGGCTACCGGTTTTGTTGTTCATTCGATAAATTATCTTATCTCCGATGCCTGTCCCAAACGGTTCCTCAAAAAAACGGGTAGATGAAACGGATAACGGAATTTTATTCATCATTGATTAATTGAATATGTCAAATTGTCCCGAACATCCGAATTTTTCCTTACATTATAAGGTGTGTAATTACAAGTAAGTTTGGTTGAATTTCCTATTTTGTGGGTAAGCAGAATTTGTAGAAGAATTTTGATACGGAGCACGCGTGGACCTTATCGGAAGTGAGGTAGTCAATGATATGGATGATCGATCAAATACCAAATGTAATAATTGACATAGATATAAACGATGTTTGAGAGATAAAGGTAATTTTATCGAAGACTCATGAGTCCGATGTGATTGCAATAAACCTATAAAAATAACAAATGAAAATAAATGGTAAGATTATAAATAAATAAATAAATAAATAAAATGGAAAGGTTTATAAAACTCTGATGAAAAATTTAAAAGAAAGAATACCTTCAACAATTGGTTTGACATCTTGGCCTTTTTTGCAG